GAATGCAATTAATCGCAGTTTCCCAGTGGGACTGTGCACTAAGTGTTCGGCTTTGTAGTTTGTCGTCTTGTTTTGAGCCTTGCGGGACTTGATCCGGTGACCTGTAACCTGTGTGTTTTGTTTGTGAGTGTTGAGCCCTATGGGACTTGATCCCTGAGTCTGTCACTAGTAGTCTCTGTTTGGTAGTTGTAGGCCATTCGGCCTTTTCCTTTTGCCTTGTCATAGGTCCAGGTCCCCTTCTCCCCTGTTTCCATCTAGATACAGATGAGTCTTGGCTTGTTGCCTTTGCAGTCCATGGTAGGTCTAGGTAGAGGATAGAAGTAGCGGGCACGAACTTTGGTCAGGGTCTTTTCACGTTTTTGTTGGCTGGGGAAACTCTGCCCATCCGTTGCTGGAGGGCTGCTGCTCTATTTTGGGCGAGGTCATCTTCTTCCTCGAAGCGCAGACATAGCTGGGGTTGGGAAACGAGGTAGCACTGCTGCTGTTTCGCAGCTCTGCATGAGAGCTTCCACAGGACTGTGTTGTTGGTATTGGGTGCTGCCGTTTTCCACTTGGCAGCCACATCTGCTCTTCCTCCTCACGAGGAACTTCATCTTCTTCGAAGTGCTGGATAGGTTGTCTCCTTCTTCATCAGGACTTCCAGCGCTGCGCTTCCATGTGGGCGCCGCTGAGCTGGCGCTGCTATCATTGGGGTTGCTGATCCAGCTTGGCACGTTGTGACAGCTGTGGGGTTACTGCTGCTACGGCAGCCATAGCCAGGGAGGGGTATGAGGTGGCGAGGAGGAAGAAGAAGACTCCTGCATGCATACTTCGTTGAACACTTGTTTTTGGTTGTTGACAACACGGTTGTGATTTCTTGGAATAAAGTACTCTGGATTGATTTCTGGAGGAGGACGGGGGATTGGAGAATTGAAATTCGTTTTTCTATTCTCTGTGTATTTTGAGCTTCCGCTGTGCATGTCTTCTCTCTGGTTTTGTGTGGATTTGCCTCCTTCGAGTCTACTCTGCAATTGCATGCGTGTATGGGCATGTGTGAATTCGTTGTGGATTGAAGTTCAATCGGGTACATAACAGGTAAACCCCAAGCTTTCACATTTACGGCTCGGGGTTTAGGGTTTAGGGTTTAGCAGCGAGTTGTCCTTCACCTTGTTTTTTTTTTTTTTTTTCCCGTCGTTTTTGTTTATGTCGAATGACTAGTTTAGGAATTTGTAATTTGATTTCAATCACGCAATTTGAATGTATTATGTATTACAAAATTTACAATTGTTTTTTTTGGGGAAATGTGATCGGTTCCTTCTTGCTATGTCTTTGCAGTCATACTTGGGAACAATTGAGCTCAGTCGGTCCGACTGAACTGGACACGGACAGTTTGTTTCGCATATCAATTAGTGTGCAATTACAGTACGTTGACGCTGGCCTCAAGACAGCAAGAGGCGAGGGGCAGGCATCTCCATATTTCATCATTAGCGGGAAAACCAATTTGCCAAATGCCTCGCTACTAATAGATGAGGTACTATGTTCGCTTTTCGCATGTCAGCAAAAGCTGACCAAACTCATTCTTCCAAAAC